CTGGTTTTTCCCCTTTCTATTCTTTTCCTCTATTTCTTTGCACTGTTCATTTAAGAAGGCCCTCTTGTCTCTCCTTGCTATTCTTTGGTAGTCTGCATTCAATTTTCTGTAACTTTCCCTATCTCCCTTGCATTTGGTTTCCCTTCTCTTCTCTGCTATTTGTAAGGCCTCGTCGGACAGCCACCTTGCTTTCTTGCATTTCCTTTTCTTTGGGATGGTTTTTGTTGCTGCCTCCTGTACAATGTTACGAGCCTCCATCCATAGTTCTTCAGGCGCTCTGTCCACCAAATCTAGTTCCTTGAATCTGTTCTTCACTTCCACTGTGTATTCATAAAGGATTTGGTTTAGATTATACCTGACTACCCTGTGTTTTTTCCTCCTCTCTTCAGATTAAGCTTGATTTTTGCTATGAGAAGCTGATTATCAGAGACACAATCAGCTCCAGGTCTTGTTTTTTCTGACTGTATAGAGCTTCTCCATCTTTGGATGGAGTACAAATACAGTACTGCTTAAAAAAATCAGTTTTGGGAAGAGATTCACTGTTACAAGTAGACATCTCAGGCCTGTGTCTTATGTACCTATATATATTTTATTGGATACAATAACCATTTAAAAGCTTGTGGTGTGATTTATATCTACTGCCTAAATGATTCTACTGTTACAGCAGCTAGCTGATAAAATATGCTTGTCTAGGATACTCTAAATTTTTCTGTAGTGACTTTATCAGCAAATATTTGTGTTCTAGATGGAGACTTACTGGACTATAGAAGGTAACACTTCTTTTTGAGAGCCATGTTGATATGAATATCTGGCAGGATTTCAGGATTTTGTATTACTAAGAACAAACTATTGTCTATGTTACTTAATGTGTAATTGTGTGTTAATAATCAAATATTTGCAACTAAGATTCCTATCATTCCTCTGAGGGCGCATCTAATATCTGTTTCGCATTAACATAATTCTCTTTCAATGAAAAGATACCCTTTCAGTCATTTGTAGGAAAGCAGTAAGTAAGCAGACACTGAGGGCAGCACCCTATGTAGAAACTAGGCAAAACTGTTATGGAATTAAATTTGTCATGGATTAAGAAAGGCAGATCCATTCTGGATCAGGCTTTATGGAAAGGCAACGAGCAAGACAGGGAGGTAAGAACATTCTCTTATTCTTATTTCTTAGCAACTGGTATTCAGTAGTGTTCTGGCTCTATAAAGATAACTAGTGAAGAGGAGATGATGTTAAACTTATTTTTACAGTTTCACAAAGGGGTACATTGTGGTATGATAGAATATTAATTGAACTAATTGTGAGCAGGTTCTGATAAGATTGCATGTCTAAGAAATACAAGTCAATATGCTGAAAAGTTAAAGGTCTTGTAGATAAGTGAATATTTGAATGGACTCCTTCCCTCCACTATTTGATTGTTGTACTCCTTTCTCTGCCTTTCCATTCCCCTGCTCTTTATGAGATGGGAAACAGAGTAGTTTTGTCAGTTCTTCCAGAAGGCCAACTCTGGTGAGCTCCCTCCTCAACTGCCAAAAGATCACAGCAGCTATTCCAGAAGGCTGTAGTGGGGAAAGGGTGTTCCACCAGCCCTGCTTAAAGAACTGTTCCACCAGGTTGTTGTGTCCCTGAATTGTTTTTAAGATGGTAATTATGAAACTCATTCCAGGACAACCTGGCAGATGCTGACAGCATATAGAAAGGTAGTGGTGAGATGTGGGAAGGTAACACCAGTCTTTTCCTAATTCATACTGAGTCCTAAATATCATACATCAGATTGGATCAAATTTCAAACCACTTGCATGCAAATCATGAAGATGACCCTATATGCATAAGGGGGAGGGGAGCTTTGGTGCTGGCCCTGCATATGATGTCACACAACTTCATCGTCTCCATCCCAATTTGAATGCCTAGAGTGGAGAAGCATGTATGCATAGATCTTGATGGATTTAGGATCTCCATTCAGAGTAGAAATTTGAAAATGCATGACTCCAGTTTGAGGAGGGTTTCTATATAAACACTTCCATTGTAGATGGCCACACTCAGTGCATATATGTCAGCAGACTGGGAAACTGCATGATGTTGAGGTGGATTTAGCAGCGTAACTCAAATTCCCCTTCAGTATTTGAAAGAGGGGTGAGACCCCAACTTGAGGGCACCCTGTTTGATTCCCTTACAAGCTAATCTAACACAACCCTACAGGGTAAATCACAGAAGCCTGTTGTTAAGTTACAGCTGACAAAATATTCCAGATTTGTTTGTAGCCAATAAATAGAAGTACTCCTCACTTTATTCATGTAAGCCTGTAGTAATCGATACCTTGTATTTTTACTGCATATACACTTGATATTGTGGAATTATTTGAACATTGTCTTCATCTTTTTTCTATTTTATATTAATGCAAGCAAGTTATGCAGGTTTATGCAAAAGTTACAAAATGAGTCTCAAAAGCAAAGTCAACAAAATGAATACGTTGAGTATCTTGAATGATTACATAGAATATATGATGTCATGGATTATGACTTCATGAATCAGAAATGCAGTTCATAATGAGTATATTATAAAACTACTTGTCTAAAAATGTCTAAAACATTTTGAAATGACTTTTAGTAATGCAAAATGAGTACAAAGTGGAAATGATGCATAAGAGAATTACGGAGAAGTCTTGGAAGTTAAATGTTTGTTATAAAAACAATGTGTATTAGCAAAACAATATGTTACTCACCCAGGATAGAACCTCATTATTCATAATAAGTCTTTTTTCTTATCATGTTGCTCACTCATTCACAAGATGGGTAATTTTCTGAATATATATAGTTCAGTTTCATTATTTACTTAATCCTGCTACAGCAGTTTCTGTTGCCTACAAGCAGCAGCTTGGTGCTAAAAAGCAAGTGGGTATTTCTGCATCAATTGCCTGATAGCAAATAGCAAATAAGTTTTGCTTGCTAGCAAGAAAATAAACATGGATTATGTCATAATTTCATAAATTCTGTTTACAACAAAATAAAAATGTATCCGCTTTATTTGCCCACTAGATGTTAGGGATGTGTTTTCAACAATTGCTGTGAGATTTTTCTGGAATGCTGTTTTCACTACACAACAGACACACACACAGAGAGAGACACACACACACCACTCTTAAAGGATGCTATAATTCAAGTGTATCTTGGGAGTTGTGGGTTTTTCGGGCTCTTTGGCCATGTTCTGAAGGTTGTTCTTTCTAAAGTTTCACCAGTCTCTGTGGCTGGCATCTTCAGAGCACAGAGTGCTGTCCTCTGAAGATGCCGGCCACAGAAACTGGTGAAACTTTAGAAAGAACAAACTTCAGAACACGGCCAAAGAGCTGGAAAACCCACAACAACCATTAGATCCCGGCTGTGAAAGCCTTCGCGAATGCATTGTATCTTGGGAATTTTTATTTTTTATTTTTTTGCTATCTGTAGTTTCTTTAATTTTCTTTTTTTTTTAATCTCTCATTTATTTTCCACATGGGGAATGTGATTTAGAATTGTCTATAGTAGAATGCCTAACTCTTTATCATTTTTTACTTGTTTTGCAGTTGGACAAAGAGAAACCGCAACTGCAATTCTGAAAGACGAGTCTGTTGAAAATATGGAGATCAAGGCATCAGAATCATCTGATAAGACTATTGTAGATGGTGAACAGAAAGACACCCAAGGAGTTGATAAACTGTCACCATCATTAGAAGACAAAGTAGAAGAGCAGGAACAACCTAGTGAATCGCTATCAAATGATGTTGGATTTAAAAAAGTTTTTAAGTTAGTTGGGTTCAAATTTACTGTTAGAAAGGATAAGACTGAGAAAGTAGAACCTGTGCAGCTGTTGAACATAAAAGCAGATGAAGCAGAAGTGGCATCAAGTGGAGCTGGAGACTGTAAAGAAGTCAATACAGAGACAGTAGATGAAGCAACACAAAGTGAGGTACCCCATCTTGTAGAAAAGACAGAAGAGGAAACTCAGACTGACCAGAAGAAAGATGAAAGTTTGCCAAAACAGATAACAGAAAGCCCTCTTGAAGCAGAAAGCAAGCAAGAAGTTAAAACTGATGTCAGCAAGTCTCCAGAGTCTCCAACAAGCCCAGTAACTACTGAAACAGCATCACCCTTAAGAAAGTTATTTGCCCAGGGGTGGGCTGGGTTTAGGAAGAGGACAAGCTTCAGGAAACCGAAAGAAGAACAGCAAGCTATTGAGAAAGAAAAGCAAGAGCAAGAAAAAGAAGTGATAACAGAAGAAACTACAGTCGGAGAAGAATTAGAAAAAGACAAACCTATACCAGAAAAAGACCAGACAGAAATTTCCATGGAAGTGAGTAGTACAAAGGCAGAGAAAGAGAGAGAAGAGGGAGAAGAAACAAAAATGGTAGATGTCTCAACAGGAACACATGAAGAAGATGTTGTTATTCCCCATGAACAGCTATTGACCAAAGAGTCTGTTGAATGTGAGATAAAAGAATCAGAGATAAGTTTGAAGGAAGAGATTCACATGACTGCAGAAGAAGGATCAACACAAACAGAAGAGTGTCTGATGACCCTGGAGCAAGGCACTCTTGCATCATCTGAGAAAAAACTTGAACCAACAACTCTGTTGACAGGTGAAGCATCTGAACAAACAATAGACCAATCTGACCTAACTTCTCCAATGGCAATAGAAAAGGTAGAAGAACCTTTTGAAATAGTTGAAGCTGACAAATCTGAACCAGAAGCTCCTGTTATGACAGAAATTATTGATGAAAAATCCACAGAGATGAGCACTGATTCTAGTACCACTGAGAAGAGGGAAGAAACACAAACAACCCCAAAAGAAGAACTTGTTCTCGAACAATTAGTTGAAACAGGGGCTGAGATTCAGAGTGGGCAGCCTTCTGATGAACAGCTGACAGTAAAAGAAACCTCACCTGAAGTTGTCAGTGAACATCTCAAGCAAACTGAACCAAGCACTGTAAATGAAGCAACATCTAAACCCCCAGAAGGCATCACAAATGAAGTTGAACTTCTTTCATCTCAAGAACGAGCCAAGATCCAAGGCAGCCCCTTAAAAAAGCTTTTTACGAGTTCTAGCTTAAAGAAGTTGTCAGGAAAGAAACGTAAAGGAAAAAAGGAAGAAGCTAAATCAGGGGAAGCAGGAGAACAAATGCAGCAATTCTCTGATTCTGCAGAAAGTCCAGAAGATCCAAGGGGAGAAAGCTCTGCTTCTTCCCCTGAAGAAGCAACAGAATCTGTAGAAAAAGCTGATGCATCACAAATCATGGAAACTGAGGAAGGATCTACTGTAGATGTGGAGAAGAAAAGAGAAAGTGTTACACCTTGGGCATCATTTAAAAAGATGGTGACCCCCAAGAAACGTGTCAGGAGGCTTTCTGAAAGTGACAAAGAAGATGAACTAGATAAGGCAAAGAATGCTACTCTGTCTTCAACAGAAAGTGGACCCGGTGAAGAACAGGAAGACAGTAAAGAAAATGGTGAGGAACAGAAATTAGAAAAAAGCACAGAAGAGCCCAAGAGAAAGGTTGATACTTCTGTGTCATGGGAAGCCTTGATTTGTGTAGGTTCATCTAAAAAAAGATCCAGGAAATCATCATCTTCTGATGAAGAAGTGGGACAAAGGCTAGCTCAGGAAGGACAAAAGATAGATGAAAGAGTGCCAACTAAAGAAGCGGCAACAGAGGTTAACCTAACTAGCTCACAGGAAAGTGATCAAGGACAAGGAAATTCATCACCAGAACAGGTTGGAAGTCCATCTGAAGGTGAGGGAGTTTCAACGTGGGAGTCCTTTAAAAGATTAGTGACACCAAGAAGAAAGTCTAAAACAAAGATGGAAGACAGAAGTGAAGAAACTGCCACAGTTCCTAGCTTAGAACATTCTACTTCAGATACCGATTCTGGGAAAGAAGAGTCCTGGGTTTCATTTAAAAAATTAATGCCTGGTCGCAGGAAGAAAAAGTCAGATGGAGTGCCAGAACATGCTCCTGTTCAGGAAACTGGAGAAGAAATGGCAGAAACCAATGAGGAAGACTATGATGTTCCAGCTGTTGTCCCTCTATCAGAGTATGAGGCTGCTGAACAAGAGAAATTTGAAGCCCAAATGGTGAAGCAAGATGATATGACTGAGAAGAGTTTAGATGAGAAAAAGCCAGAGGGTGCTGCAGATGAACAGTCTAACGAAGGACTAATCCATGCAGTTACTGTTACAGTGGTAGAAGGAGAGAGAGCAGTTACTAGTATTGAAGAAAGGTCACCATCTTGGATATCAGCTGCTGTTACTGAGTCCATTGAACATGCAAATGAAGATGAAGAGCATATTTCTGAAACTGGAATTGTTGAAGAAACAGTGGTGGACACTAAACTCATGCCAGAAATTAAGAAAGATATTAGTGGTGACACCATTGTCAGTGAACTAACCTCAGAAGCCATTACAGCTCGAGAAGAACCTTCAGTTGTTGAAGAAGGAACGGAGGTGTCCTGTGCTGAAGAGACAACTGAAATGGTTTCAGCAGTTTCGAGGCTATCTGAGTCTCCTGATACAACAGAAATAGCTACTCCTGTGCAGGAGGCAGAAGAAGGCCAGGAAAACCTAGAAGAATTAAATAAACAAACACAAGAGATTCTGCAAGAGGTTGCTGAAAGAGTTAAAGTGGCAGATGAAGTATCAGTGATTAGTGAAAGTATGTCAGAAGTGGTAATTCAGCCAGTAGAAAAACCTGTTGTCAAAGTTCAAGGAGATGAATGGTCTGAAAAGCCCTTAAAGGAAGAAGATGCTGAAAAGGCTGATATGCAAACTGATGGAGGCATAAAAAGTGGGCAGGGTCAAGTTGAAGTTAAAGAAAGTGATCTCAAGGAAGTATTAGAGCAGCGGAAGGATATGTGTATGGAGGTGAATGGAAGTGCAGAGGTAACAAGTGGCTTGGACAGAAGTGATGAAGGTGGTCATCCAAAAATTGATCAAGACATTGTAGAAGAACCTGAAAAAATTCTTGAGAAACAGATGAGTGATGAGAAATCTGAAGACGAAGAAGAATTTGTCATTGTTACAGTAACACCTGAAGAAGAACAAAAAGTAACAATTGGTGACACAAATGAAAAGCAACTTGTATTGTTAAAAGAAATGGACAGTGGAGACCATGGTCCTGCTGATACAGAACAGGCAGTCAAAGTGAATGTAGAAGGTGCAACATCAGTTGTGATTCTAGAAGATGTTCCAAAAGCAGATGAATTGATGAAAGTGACATGTGAAGAGAAGCCTCAGTTGTCCCAGAAACAGGAAGAATTGGTGAGCATCATACTTGATTTGAAACCAGAACCCACAGAACAAAGTACCATTGAGGTAAAGCTGCTTGTGCAGAATGAAGTACAAGATGCCAAAATTTTAGTAGAGTCTCCACAAAAAGAAGAATTTGTCCTTGAGGCACCAATTCTGAGCAAGATAATTGAAGTTCCAGTGAAGGATGATGAAATTAAAGTCCAAGACTTGGATGTGACTGGAGATACTGTACTTGGTACCAAAACAGAAAGCGCAGAGGAAGTTGCAGTTGAAACCTCTATACAGAGCAAAGATGCTGATGGCTGTGTTGAAAATTTGGAGATGGAGACACAGAAAATGGAACCTGAGAGCTGGCTGCAAAAATTGGAGACCAAGATTCCTGTGAAAGATATGAAATCTGAATCACTCCTAGTAAAATTAGAGGAACAGATCCATGCTGAGAATATGGAGAAAGAGGTGCCAATAAAACTGGGAATGGGTGTCCATAAGCAGAATGTGAAGGCTGAAGATCACATTCAGAAGATGGAAACAAATGGACATCAAGAAGAAGTGGAAAGGAAATCAGATGTACAGAGTATGGAAGGGGTCCTGGCAGTGAAGCCGGGAGTAAAGGATGTGGAGACAAAGACAGAGTGTGTCATGGAAAAACCAGATGTTAAGGAGCACATAAAAGTAGCAGAAGTACACGTCTCTGGTGAAGAGGTACACACAGTATCGGCTGTAGACATGGAAGAAGTTATCAAAACAAAAGCTGGAGTAGAACCAGAAGCTCTCCCAGAAAAAGGGGAAGGGGAACCCCCTGTAAAAGGACTAACTGAAGAGGCAGATGGGACAGCGGATGTGGAAGCTGCCACTGAGCAAGCAGGTGCAAAGGTGGAAGCTGAGTCCTCTACTGAGAAGGAGGCCTCAAAGACAGATGTGGAGGCTTCTACAAAAGAAGCAGATACAAAGGTAGAAGACATGATCCTTGCAGAGACAGCGACCTCATCAAGTCAGGCAGGTGGAAAGTTGGAAAAGGATGTCATTGCAGCAGTTGTGGATATGGAGTCCCATGTGGAAACAGCAGGTGCTGAGGTTGCTGAGAAAAAGAGTGAAATGGAAGTGCCTCCTGTGAACACAGATGTGGAACACTCAACAAAGGAGGTAAAAGTGGAATCCTCAGAAAAATCAGAAGTTGAAATCCTTACGAAAAAAGCAGAAGCAGAGGTCCCCATAGAAAAGGTAGAAGTGAAGCCTTGTGTGGAGGTTATTGCAGAAGAGGTGGATGCAGAGGTGGATGTGAAGGATCCTGCAAAGAAGATGGATGGAAAAGACCCTGCAAAACAGTCAGAAGTACTGGTGGAAGCAGATGTCGCTGCTGAGCAGCTAGAAAAAGAGAACTTACAGAAAATGCAGAAGGAAATTGTATTTCAGTCCGATGCAGAATGTTCTACAACTTGTTTGACAACATGTGTTGAAACTGTTTCAGCTGAAGCCTCAGTGGATATTGATTCAGAGCAAGAATCTGTAAGAAATGCCATAACTAGAGTTCCTGTGCAGACAGAATTGCCAGGAGATGCCGTTTGTTTGGAATCAAAGGGTTTTGATACAGCGGTTATTGAGATGCTTTCAGAGAGTGAAGGGAAAGATGGAACTCCTGCCTTAGAAGTATCGGCAATCCAAATTGTAACTGAGGAACCTAAGGAAAGGGGGCTACGTGAACAATCAACTTCCAAGGAGGACACCGTGGATCTCACTCAAGCAGTTGTGGGAGATGCCAGGCTTATCTTGAAGTCACAAATCCCAGAAAGAATCAAAGCTGACACTCCAGAAAGTAAAGAGGAAGTAAGTGTAAAAGATGTGATGCTTGTGGAATCAAAATCTGCCAAGGAAAGTCTAATTCAGAAAGAAATATCTGTGCCTTGTATCAAGACTGAGGAAGAAACATTGACATCCATAGGCAGCACTGCTTCTGAAGGCCACATGCAGCGTGAAAAGGAAGATGCATTCAGTTTGGAATACACTAAGGCAGCTGAGGACACTGTGCAAAGTGGAGCAACTGGCGATACTACAAAAGAAGAGTTTGGAAAAGTACCTCTAGCAACTGAATTGGACTCTACAGAACCAGTAATGCTTGAGGCTGTAGTAGAAGAAAGTATTCTTCTTTCAGATTCTGGATACTTGGACAGTATGGTCTCAAATACTATTTTGGAAAGTAAGAGAGACAGTACCCCCCTGGGTAGTAGTGAAGCTAGCAGAACTGGAATCACAGTAAAAGCTACTGCAGCTGAGGAGCAGATCATTGCTGAAAATGTCACACTTGCAGAACCATCAACTGAAACCCTGCAGTCCTTGCCAGAGGAGCAGCAAGAGACAGAATTCAAATTGGTACAGCAGGTGAGCTTTACTCATTCGGAATATGGAGCTGTAAGTCCTGCTACTGATATAGTGTCTGAGAAAGTTGATTCAACTGTACAAGAGCCAATTTCACCAACAGTAAACTCTACCAAGGATGATTTGCTCCAGAAATGTGTACTCCATTCCATCCCTGAAACGAAGCACCAAAAACCAGAGACCAGCCAGGAAGCTGAAAAGAAGACAACACCTCCAGAAAGAAGCCCTTCTTTAACACATATAGAATTTCAAAAAGATGGTGTTCAATCTGTAACTATAGAGTCGCAGAGTACAACAATTGTACTGAAAATCATCCAAAATGCTGTTGACAAATTAGAGGAAACAGAAGAGCCAGTATCTTTGCCAAAACAACAGAGTGAATCACATTCACCGAGTGTAGAAACATCTGAAACTCAGACTGATCTATGGACTGGTCAGCAACCTGCTGTAATAGGCAAAGAAGAGAAAATTCAAGAGATCCAAGTATTAAGTATAACACAGCCTTCAGAGAAACAACATGCCTTCAAGACAGTAGAAGAAATGCCTTTACATTCTGAGAAATCTGAAGATGGAAAAAGTGTGGGTTCCAGTAAAATAAGTGCTGAACCCGAAGCAGTTAAACACATGTCACATGTAGATGAACAGCCATGTACTGAGACAACATTAGAGCAACACCCTGGATTTCTGAAGGAAGTGATGCAAGAGATTATTAAAGAGAAAGGATTGCAAAAAGAAAATGGTGACCGAAAGGACACAGCTGTTTCAACAGAGACTCAGAGAGCCACATTGGAGGGTACTGTCTCAGGGGATGTGCCCAAAGAGTCACTGGAATTAGGCCAACCAAAGCTCAAGGACATAGAAGTGGGGCAGACAGTACAGATCCAAGAACAGTTCTCAGAGCAACAAACACATGTGAAGAGGAAAGACCACAGCCCATTGACAGAATTTGTAGAGGGAGATGTAAATAATCAAGACTGCACATCTTGTAAGAGTCCACCGCTAAAGTCAGAGCTTGCTGAATCCTGAGGTTTAATGTAAGTATTATTTCATTAGAATAATTCTTGGCACTAATTTGAATCCAGAATGATTAACTTTTTTTCAGTGCCATTTTGTCAGCAACATGATGTATCCAAATGCTTTGCCCTTCTTAACTGTACTATGGCCAAATATTTCAGGGTTTTAAAAAATGGGTTGATCTGAAAAGAAAAGAAAAAGAGCAGAAACAACCCCCCATCCCAAAGCTACCTTGCAAAAGCCACCCAGAAGAGTTCCTACGTTGCCAGTCCAAAGCCTCCTCCGATGGCACTCACTCCCCCCCCTCCAGCTGCAGCCAAGACAATGGGACTTGCAGCCCAAGCAGTTTTTTGGAGATCCATAAGTTGCCCATTCTGACATAACCCTTAATCAGAAGGTACTGTGTGGCGTGTTGCTTCAGGTGCTGTATAGAAGCACACTCAGAGAGCACTAACTTTTAGCCCATCACTCAATCCCACTTTCAGTCATAAACATTCATGGAGTAAGGTCAAACTAGATACTGTTCCATAGAAACAATTGGCAGTCATACAATTCTTGGAAAAGTAAGTAGCAAGTGTTTTTTTTTTGGGGGGGGGTAATTGTCAGTCTGAATTGGGATGCTGGTGGGACGAGCAAGGCTTTCACATTTTTAAACCTGCTTTGTCCCCAGACTGGATCAGGTTTCAAAGCCTGTTGCTTGCATTCATACAGGAAAAGAAGGCTCCTGTTTCTGTCAGTGGAAAGGATTATGGGTTTGGTTTGGTTTTGGGTGTTTTGTCAATTCTGAGAAAGAAAGAAAATGTTTAAAGCCTCTTCCTGCCTCCCCACCACCTGTATTGGGGCACTTAGGACCTCTTACTTTAAGGAGTGCATCCATTCCACGTAATTCTTAATTGCAGGAATAGCATCATGTCATTTGATCCAATGAGGGTTGCATGTGATACACTTCTTGCAATGTGACCTGCAGGTTGGGAATGACAAAGAAAATTTCTTTTTGCTTCACTTGCAGATATTTTGAGCTAGGGGGTTGTGATTCTATATATTGGAATCATATATACTATGTAGAGAAGGGTCAGTATGGTAGTTTGGATCACAGTTCTTGTGTACTACATCATTATAGTTTGGTGATGCTACATGTTGATTAGGAGGCTCAGGAAGTAAGTTCTTAATTTTTATTTTTATTTTTATTTTGCAACAGTTTTATTGAAAGATGTGTCTTGTCTTTGGAGGACCAGTTCTTGAAGAAGACAACAAAAAAGGTTGGATGCTACCTAACTGAGCTGAAGATCAATTATTTTGAACAGTGATAACAGACCACTGCTTCCTCATGTCATTCTGAGAAAGGCATCTGACAATCCTGAGACACCATCAGGAGCTTGAACCACTTTGTTTTACTTTAGATTGGTTGTTAACACTTCCTTTTCACAATAGTCTTCTTTAAAAATATATATATTGCTGGTAACATGAATTAGAGTGGGTAAGAAGGAAGTGTTACCTGTCACTGAAATGGCATCCATAAATTAACTGGGGAAAGACGTTGACATCTTTTAGTCTCCTCCTTTTATTAGTGCTTCCAAAACTGGATTCTAATTCTTTGTGTATTTATGTGTATATCTTCAAGCAAAGTCTGATTTTAATGTATATTTCCTCTTCTTTATATATGAAAAACAAACAAAAAATGATCTCACTCACCTTGCCCTGTTATCACATAAAAAATATTGTGAGTAACCTGCAACTGACCACACATAGCTCCAGATATATTTACATTGTCTTCCTGCTGGTTAGAAGAATTGAGACCTAATGCTAATGCCACTTTTAGTCTTGCATCCATACTCATGTACCCATTTATTATTTTCCATCATGCTTGCTTGAGCCTGGTGATGTTTATGGCCATTTTCTGTCATATTCTCTTAAGTTTGGTGCTGTTTTTCTTATGTGTGTTGGAAAACCTTTCAGTTAGTCAGATGGAGAGTTAAGTGCATTTAAGAATAGCTCAGTGGGTTGGGTCCATCATAAGCCTCCAACAAACTAGGGTCTTTCCATCCACTGGTGACTTCTGATACAGTGGAAGAACACTTCTGGTAGAAAGGTTGGAAAGAGGGGAATGCAATCTCCTCTTGTTCCTCCTTGAAATTTGTTCTGAACATAGCAGGGAGCTGCAGAGGAGACCAATTTAGCCAAAAGCACCTCTTCATTCTCCTGCCGTTGGCAGTGTTCTAAGCAGAGCACAGCTCTGAGAAACTTAGCATAAGTAGAAAAGATAGCTCTAACCCACAGTTCTTAAGTCTGCCTTCTGGCTTTCAAATTTGAGTACATCTGAGTTTTGAGTCACTTGAGGGACATGGGAAATCTAAAAACCAAGAAAGTACACCACCACTTCAGACTGACTGTTCACTAGTCCTGCATTATAATTCATTTAAAGAAATCATATCTTAACTTTAGGTGATGTGCTGAATTGCTTTAATTCATCAAGAAAATCATAAATTATTCTTATTGTTTGTTTGTTGGTTAGTTAGTTTTACATTCATTATTTTCCTCTTAATGGAACTCTTCCATGTCATAAAACGAGACAGTCTTTTTAAAAAGGTTTTGTTGAGCAAAAGATTTTGTCTGCTCTGTATTTGTGTCCCTGTGTTAGGAAAGTGTGTTTTGCTATGCATAAATATGTGTACTAAAGTGTGGTTTCTAAAAAAAATGGTTTTAATAAAGACCTGACTTACCTTAAGTTTGCGCTTTTAATTACTATTAAAGAAAATAAACTAGGAAGCTTGGAACCAAGTCACTCTTAATATTGTTAATGTAAAACTGCACTTCTTAATGTAGGTCAGTATAAATTGGACATAAACATTGGGCAGACTTCAGTGCTAAATAACAGAATAATAATTATAAATGCATTTAGTATTTGATCTAGACACAAAGCATGTCTAGCAGGTAAAGTTATATTGCACGTTGTAGACTCTTCAAACTTATCTAGCTGAGTCTGTTGCATGGCCCAACAGTTTCTTTGTGCTACATGTAAAGTAATTTATTTGAAAATGAACTAAAATAAGCCAAAGAAATAGTATACAGTATTTGACATACAAAAACACACACACAAACACACACACACACAAAAGAACTGGTAAAGAAAAAGCTGGTGTGATTGCACCACCTAGTGGTTGCTCTCTATGTTTTATAGGTCTTTCACTAACATTTAGCTTTTCCTCAAAATATGGAAAGATGTGTTTTTTAAAACCTATCTTCCATATCTCTGGATAAATGATAATAGGTAACCTGATCAGTGTATTGTAACATGCAGTTAATTTGTGAATATTAAGACTCAAAATATGACTTTTTAAAAACCCGTTAAATAGTCTGAGAATAGGGTTTATTTGAACAACAGTAGCATCAATTCATGTTAAGACAAAAAGCTTTTCTTAACTAATAGAAGATGATAATAAAAGTGAATGCCCACATACTTTCTTTCCATATAATTATAACTTTTCTCTCTGTTTCAGGGAAAAGTTTCACTGATGTAAGTCCACTAGAATCGCATTGCAGGAGGTCATTAAATTATATTGATGCAATCGCTGAAACTTTTTGGTTTTAATTTACAGGGCAAAATCTTAGTTGCGTAAGTTTGCGAAGCATAACCCAGATTGGGTAATTTAAGATAACGAAAAGTTCCCTATCCCTCTCCTTTTAGGTTTTGAGACTTATAAGGACTCCTTTTTGTCCTGATGAAGCCTTTGAGAGCTTCAGAATGGGGAGAGGAGAGCTTTTAATAGTAAAAAAAAATCACTGTCAGCAGGGGAAAAGGAAAGCCTAGTCAGCCTCAGAACATAAAAGGAGGTGGACAAGAACCTTTTGATTACTTTAAATAAAACACTTCCTGTGCCCGTTCTTGGTTATGCTGTGCAAAATTACACATTTTATCTCTTGTACGGTGATTCTAGTGAACTTGCATCAGTGAAGACAGTTTCTGAAATAGATAATTTACATGCTTGCAGTGCCTGATCCACGTTACCTCTCACAAAGAGGAGTTTGAACAGGATTTTGTGCATATGATTCCTAGCCTGCTAGCATGGAGAATGGTTTTAAATTGTTGATTAAGTTCAGTGTATTCAGTCCAGAAATGCTAAACAGCCAAAAGAGAGAAGTCCGGCCTCCTGTCCCTACCAGGTCTATTAAGAGGGACAGCCACAGGCAGGAAGAGGCCTGATGTGACCACACAGTGTTCTTTCCAGCCTGCACTTGTTTAGTAGTCGCCCTGCCACCACGGTTGTCTCTTGTTCGCCACTGATGAGGATGTGCCACCTCATTTCCATTTTTACTGCCTAGCAACAGTGACAGATAAAGCTCTTCTACTACCTCATTCAACCCACTGGCTGTATTAGAAGTAAAATAATTCCCAGGGTTGCTAAGCTGGCACCCTTATTCAAGTATCTGTATATATTAATACAACCCCACCCCACCCCCCAAAAAAACACACACCAACCTCTCCATCCTCACTCTGCCTGTTTCACACAACCTGAAGCTGAAAGCCTATCACAATATGTTAGGATCAAGTTTTGGGGTAGTGTGCGTTCCATTTGTCAGGCATGGTAAGGGACACTAATCAAACCAGTCACATTTTCACTCCAGTTAAGAGTCTGTGAAGTCTCCTTTCCCTACCAGGACCAAGGAACTGCTCAATCTGTGTTCACTGGAAAAAGTATTTTCCCTGAAAGGTCAAGGGTCTGCTTTTAGTCAAAGTATGAAAACATGGTGTTTTTTTGGGGGGGGAGGGGAGGGGAGCCAGTGGCAGTCTAAGCAGTAGGATCCCGTCGTATGTATCTCAACTTGGCTTGTGCTTTTCTTGGGACATTAGTTCTGGCATCACACACTCTGTGATTAATGAATTTGTGAGAAAGTTCATTCTTGTTTCTGCAAGGTGCAGATGTTTCAGAAACATTGAAGGGTGTGGCTTAATAGCCACCTTCAGCCAATTATGATGATAATATAAGATCACAGGTCAAAACTTGTTTGTGAATCAATTAGATACTGTATATACAATGTGGAAAAAGCTATAAAATGTTAAGCAAACATGTTATGTCACAGAATGACTTTGGAGAGTCTTTGTTTTCATTTCCTGTTTTTTCCCCCTCTAGTGGCAGCTTCCCCATTTTTACTATGAATTACAAGGTCTGTTCCAATTGTCAGATGTTAACATTGCTCACTTTCACTAGCTCCATTCATGCATTGCTCACATGAAGGGAGTAGCACATGTGTCATGTGCATTATGGTGATGCGTTGGGCTCCACAACCGGCACAGGCATGTTGTTTGGCCCTGCTTGTAGATTATCCATATATTTGTGAGGTCCTCTGCAGGTGAGAATCCTCTATAAGAGAAGGCAGTTAACTGGGACAGCAACATCTGTACATAAGCAGGCTCTCTAGCATAGGCTAATACTGTATAGTGATATCTGTGGACAAGGTCTCTCATCATGCCTGTGACTCAATATGGTGCCCATTGGGCTATTGTACTCTTCACAACAGATCACAGAGCCAACTCTGCCCCCCCCTTATTAATTGTGGAGTACTCTTTAAAGACCTGCTTGACAAACTTCCTTTTTGTGGTCATGCATTTATCATGCATCAGGCAGCCACAAAAAAGGTGAATCTCAGTGTCTTGATTTACAGCTGGGATGCTAATTATTTATATGAACTGTAATCTGTGTATGGAAAGCCATATTGCAACAAGCTAAATAATAATAATGAAACAACAATGGCATGGCCTGTGTATCCTGTTTCTAATCTTTATAGCTCCAAGGCTGTTAATAAATATGTAAAATTATCTAAAGCATCATTGCAACCTAGGTACCACAGTGTAAATCATCACTGTGGCCAGAAGTCGAAGAACAAGCTTTTAGTTCTTGTGTTTTTTTAAAAAAATACTGATCTCGGGCCTTCTAAGCAATGCAAACACAGATCATTTAACCAATATTTCTTCTTGTAACTGATTGATCTCAGAACAATGGCACCAGAATAATTTTCTCATGGTGCAGGGAGCATGTCTCCATACACAGATACTGCTTTATTACAGTGTATTGCTTTGGCCTCAAAATACTTAAGACAATGCTGCAAATTTTAGCTTGTGCCACAGCTCCCAAGCTTTTGCAGTTTCTTCTAATCCAGTGTATTGGATTAACTGATAATTTTGATTTTCTATGTTGTTTTTAAGGTAGATTTTCATGATCTTAATAAAATACAAAGAAAATTCATGTTCTTTCTGTCCTTGTTATTATTTATTGTTCTCTTTCGTCCCTCTGCATTCACATTGCTAGATGTGCACCTGAACAGAGCAAGCTTTAGCCATGGAACTGTGGCTTTCATATCTTCTTTCCAGAAAGAGGATGCACCCATAAAATAGCATCAGTATCTTTGCTTTTGGCAACAAATGGCAGCACACACCAGGTGGGTTAAATTAAGGTTTTGGCTTAAACCAAGGACACATTACTTCAGCCTGCAGCAGTGAGACCCCCATGTTTCTGCAGAACTACCCTGTTTCCACAAAAATAAGACCTAACCTGAAAATAAGCCCTTGTATGATTTTTCAGGATGCTCATAATATAAGCCCTACCCCCAAAATAAGCCCCAGTTAAGTAAAATCCCACCCTCCACCATTGTGCAGCAACCAGAAGATGACATGACTGTAAAATAAAACATCAGATTATTTTTGGAGCAAAAATTAACATAAGACCCTTATATTCTATTGTCATATTGTGTATTGATGCAAAGCTACAATTGCTGTAAACCTGCCCTTGATGTTTACAGCATAGTGCATTAAATCAGTGATGTCTTTGACATATCTGGCCTCATCTCCCCCGTCACATTTACATTCTACGCACTGGACTTGGCAAGGGAGTGCTTACCCCATTTGCTCCCTCTGCTTTTAACATTTTAAAATATATTGTCACCTGGAAAAATGCTGGTCAAATAGCCTCTGAGACATGCCCAGAGGATGATGTAGAGCTGTGACCGTAAGTATTTGACCTTCTTGACGTTTGGACTTCAATCTCCAGATAGGGACCAGAATTTTGAGTGATTACGTTCAAATCGTAAAGAGAACAGAAGGCTTAGAATTTACTAATGCACCAAGTGAAATTTCCATTGGTGGTTGAACTAATGCAAAGTGTACATAAAGGGACTAGTCCAGAATGAACTGAAATCAAACTGAGAGACTTGAGGAAAGGCATTACAAAAGTAATTACATAAAATGAACTTAACTACTAAAGTTATTATGGGTCTATGCCTATGCAGATGCCTCCTTCACAATGCTCCAGACTGATAGTTTTTGAACATTTTCACCCTCCCACAGTGTATGCTCCAGCACATGTTCCTCAAATTTTTTCATATCACAGTAACAAAATAATTATAAAACAGAAGAAACAGATTACGATTGGAATTTGAGACCGCCACGGTCCTGTCTTTGTGTTGCTTGGGAAGTTTGATGTCTATGGGCTGAAAGATCATATGCATGGTTTATTGAACTCAGTGAAATATGCATGGAGCACGAAGAATTAATTCTGCTGTTTTATGCAGTATACCAAGGCCAAATAGGAGGCAAACATTAGCTTTATCTCCCTTCTTTTCAGAAGCTGCTTTTTAACTGAGTTATAAAATGTTCCATCTCACTTTTAGGGGCTTCTCATGACCTGAGCAGATACTGAAGTGGCCTCCCCAGCCCCACCTGCTCAGACCACAAGCTACCTTTGTTATTTTTTTCCTACTGTGCTTAAGCGTTTTCCTAAAACTTAGCCATACAACTTTTCTTTTTCAATCTCCTTTTTTCAGGAGTATATGTGACTTCTTCAAAGAGTGATCCCCAAATGTACATAATAAACTAAAAGGGATTTATCAATACCTTGCTTGAGAAATCTTAGCTTTCAATTATTTTATGTAGACTAACAAGCCAAATATACAACTCTGGACCCAACAAGGCAGAAATAATATTTTACTTTTTAAAAAGCTGAATTAAACTCTTCTTAATCAGTTTAAATTTCCTACTTTAATCCTAAAATTCAAAGGCCAGATAATGTTCAATACCTTCTAGGCAGTATGGAGATTCTGGCAACTCCGCTATGGAGAATAAATTCCATAATTTGGGATATCCACTGCAAATCCTGAAAGTATAAACCATCAAGATCTAGCCAAAGATAAGTATATTTAATCTCACTGGATTTCAACATTTTGAATTGCATCATATGGAAACTGGGATAAAGGTGCCTTTGGAAATTTAAAACATATGGTAAGCTTGGAAAGTTTTCAATGTAATTAACTAATTCACATAAGGGCTGGGAAAAAGTAAACAGCATTTTTTGATACTAGTCACCAAAAAGTTGCATTTGTCTATAACCATCCACCCGCTCCCCTTTGCTGCAGAAAGCTAGTCTATTCCTTGAGAACTACAGTAATCACATTCATTGCCTAAGAATATGATCAAGATGCTGGTGCTGATCCAGATAAAATTAATTGTAACTAATGCTGTGATCCTCAACATGCTTATCTGGATCCATCAACCCCCATTTGAAAGCAAGGGAATTCAATTATATTCTATTGATTGCAGCAATATAGTCAGAAGTTGGAAATAAACTTTAAATATTAATCCATTACTGTTCCAATGTCCACAAATTATTGCTTTTAATTGAATTTAAAAGTAACTTCTCAAAAGCAACTAGTTACTTTAGTTAATGGCTTCTTTTAGTTCCTTAAAATGCCTCCTGGCTTAAGATACAAAACACATTTTGCCCCTTCTGCCTTGTTCCAATAGCCACAACATAGCAGGCAGCAGAAGAGAGAGACCACCAGCGCTTGAACCATGTAATATTGTTTCTGTCATCTAGTGAGGCCACAAACAATAGGTACACCACAAAAAAGAAAAAAAGACCCCACAGTCATTTACAGTTGTAAACCATTTGTTCTTGAGAAAAGGTATCGTTAATAAAAAGCTTTGTGTAATGAAGTTACTTCCAAACTGAGCTTGAGATTTTACTATCCATTTCTGCTACATGTGCACATGCAGACCTGAATTGGCTAGGCTGGGAGTGCTGGCTGTAATTTAATGAGTCTCCAGCAGGCATTGGAGAACTGCATTAGCAGATGCTTTTGCATTTATTTTGCCAGGTACTCTCTCTATATATGTGTGCACTAATGATAACTTTACATTTTAAATAATTCTTGCCCCCACTTTGCCTGTCCAAGGACATGACAATGAGATGAACAGGAATATTTGCTATCAGCTGAAACCTAGCCTCACCATACATGAGTCTTCTAATGCATTCCTCTGGATCATCCCTTTTAAAAATATGGTGGCCAGATGTGCTTTCCCCTTTGTAGAGTTCTACTGTCTGATAACTACAATCTCCATCCTGCAGGTTTATGTTTAAAGGCTACATGAAATGAGCTATCTATCTAATGCTGGAGGGTTTTTTACACTTACTGGCCAAATCCTGTTGCATGGCTCTTCCTGTGCAATGGGACTGACATCACCAAATGTGACTAAGTGCTGCTAATTAAAGAGTTCCTTTTTGTTTCTCAGTGCACATCATTTTGTTATTGTTGCCCAGAAATCACACACATCCAAAAATTGAAAAATAAACTCTTTAATCAGTAGCAGTTTGTTATAGCTAGTAACATCACTTCCATTGTGCACATGAAACTGCAACAGAATACTGACCACTGAATGCTTGCCTTTAACTTGGCTTTGTCCCTGTCCTTTGAATTCTGTGTCATGCTGTAAATGTGTATTTTATTAGTTCAGTTTATGCCTATGATGTCTTTGTAAATTGCTTTAGGGCCTCTATAAATGAGGAGCAGGACAGAAATACTTCTCATAAAATGAAACAGAGTAATCATACATCTGATAAATATTTAAGACAGCACAGTACACGCTTACCCCCATCTTAACTTGATGCAAGCAGAAACCTGTTCCACAGCAGATACATTCTGTGTACATTTATTAGAGCAAATGTACTTCTTAATAAAGCTTGGAAGATGGGGGTCCTAGAGGCTATGCCAATCCTGCATTAATGTGCAATACTGTTGAGCTGCAAAAGCCTTCATGGATCCGGCCATCTGTATATTAACTCAAGAGATGTCCTGCTAGGAGGTAAATCCTGAGCCCAAATGTTAGGACATGGCACAAACAATTGGCTCACATTCAATTCCTTCTGACTTGACCAAAAAAACCCCACAATTTTTCATTTTATATAGTTTTTTTATTCCATGAAATAATGTATAAAAACTTACAAACTGTAGAACATAACTAGACACAAAGTAGGATGATACTCAAATAAAACATGTATACAAAAAGCAGCTCTATCTGCCTCCCTGTCCCCCAGCAAAACACTGTCTGCATTTCAGATGGGATGTCCACCTAATTGAAACTTTCCCATGGGTACTTATCACTCACTTCAACTTGGGAGTTTTTCTTTTTTAATACTACTGGAAAATAGTTGGGTATTTATATATTAAAAATAAAAATTAAAATTAAAAATCAACAACTTGATTAGTTGTACTGTCCAGTATGTACATCCCCTTTAATTTTGGCATACAGTATTTTGCCTGATTGGAGCCTAAGATAAACGGAACAGAACATACAGTTTCCCACTGAATGTCGCATTATTTTTTTTTTAAACCAACCATGATAATTTTTTAAAATCATTCTTCTGCATTCTGTTATGAGACAAGGGGATGCTAGGAATTAATTTTTTTAAAAGACCAGTTTCCTTTTCCCTTCAATCCTTCATATTAATTGGGTAAACTCAGATTATATTTTGTGTTTGCTTTTTTTATAAAACAAAAAACAAAACCCAGTAACCTAGAAGTGTTTTTCCTGTTCCTGTGACTCTACAAAGACTTAATCAATTCCTCCACATGCTTAGCACAGGGCTCACTATGTACAATTCTTCTCTACCTGATTTCCTCTGCATTTGGAGTGACAATACTTCTGCACCACTATCATCAATGGTTTCCGTTCTATAAGGTAGGTGATGCATACACCCTGGACCAATTTAAATATTATTACAAGGATCAATTTTTCAGATATTAAAATTCTTTAGTTATTCAAAACTCATGGGCTGTTTGTTTGGAAAGGGTGCATGCATATATTTACCTGCATTTACCAGAAGTTCACAGACACACACACAAACATTTTATGCATATAAAAAAAGATTGCCATCACATTATTACCGCTATTTTAGTAAAATCTGATCCTAAACACATTTATACCTGGAAATTTCAGCCCTACTGCTGTCAGTGGGACTTCTTACCAAGCCAGTGTGCTTGAGGTCACAGCTTTAACAGTACACTTCCTGAATGAACATGTCAGTAGTTACCTGGAAACACCACCTGACAAAATTCTTGCACATTAAAAAGTATCCCTGGTTCACTAAGGGAATTTCTGAACCTTTGTAAAATGACGAGGATGCATCATAGCTATATGATTATTAGATTTCTGTACCCCCAATTAGTTTTCCTCTAAAATACCATTTGTTATAAAGTAAAGTTGTACTTCAATAAGCCTGGGTTTTCTTTCTTTTCCTTATCATGCTGCTCACTGCATTGATGTATACATTTTGGCAATTTTAAAACTTGCCTGGACCCTTACAATGCATTTTAGCACTAGAGCAGTTAGCTGAATTACTTTTACACACACTCTTCTGTATTAAAATCAATTGTTATAATTTTGTACAATACCCTTTATTAATTTTATATTTTTCCTTGGGAAAAAGGACAGAGTCAGAGTTCCTTGCATGTCAGTGTAGTTATAGGTGGGGAAGGGGAGGAGAATAGGTTTAGTAAAAATTAATAACACATTTTTCCCATTTTCTTAAAAAATGATACGGGTTTATAGTCAGTCTAACAAAACGGCTTCCTGTTCTTTTTTGATAGAGTCTAAAACTGAATGATCACTCTCTGTGGTTTCTGCATCCCCGCTGCCAAGCAGAATGGATCTATCCTCTTCTAGTGTAAAGACAGAGTTCTGACTTTGACACGAATGTTTGACAACTTCATTAGGCGTGGAGAATGTTTTGTCACACAAGTTGCATTTATATGGTTTGTTGGTCTGTACCAACATGTTGTCCATTTGGTTGCCTTCCTCAAAAGTACAAAGCTCCAAAGTCTGTTTGTCTACCATAGTGTACGTATCCATGCTTTGGTTTAGACATACATGTCTAGCAGCTTGATTGGCCCGGCAAAAACTTTTGTCACAGGTGCTGCATTTAAAAGGCTTCCCAGTATGTATGTACATGTGCTCTCTCCAATGGCTTTTCTGTATGAATTTGCGTCCACAAATGGAACATTCGTACTTTCGTCTTTTAACTTCTCTTTCTTGATCTGCCTGCTCCAAGTTGTCTATGTCAGCAATGTCAGAGGGAGGTGGTGTTTCGGCTTGCTGCTGTCCATCAATAATGGGTGAATCTGAGATCTGCTGCAGCTCACTATCACTGATCATTCCAGTTTCAGGCACTTCCATAGCATCTTTTTCAGGAACATTATTACAAAGAGACATGGGCACACTACTTTCGCCTTGCTGGCTAGATGTGAATGGCACTCCTGTGTGGATCTGGAGGTGCTCACGCAAACTACTTCGCAAGTTGAACCGTCGACCACAAAGGTGGCAAGCGTAGTATTTGGGGAAGCTTCCATTCTTTTTCATAATGCTTGGCTTGACATGTGCTATTGTGAGGGAAGCAGGCTGATCATCTGAGGAAGAGGCTTCCATGTTAGTTTCATCTCCTGGAGAAGGAGGATGAGGAGCAGCTGGAACCAGTTCTGGAGACAAGGAAGACTGCAGTGGATCAGAAGGAGCCATATTTGTCTGGGGCACTGGAGGCAGAGTTGGTGGTGGTAATTGAGACAACTGGGAGGCTTCATGCACTTGCTCTTGGTTTACTCTTGACGGCTGTGGCCTCGGTTCTCGCACAGGTTTGTCAACTGCTGTGGCTGCCTTTGGCGGATTTCTTGCCTGATGATCTGCAATCTGAATACCATATAATGAAGAGGCTAGTGGAAAAACTTGCTCTGGGTGTGCAAAGGTTCCTTGGCTGGCAAGGCTAGCCTCTTGAATAAGTGGGTAGGCATGCAGAAACTTTATGCCTTGCTCTAATCTAACTGGATCTATGAGCTGAGGTGCCATTTTCCCAGTGTACATCAAGTGCAAGAGATAGCTGAAAATATCTGGCTGTATGTCAGTTGCTTTCAAACGGACACATTCACTAGGAAAAAAATAAATAAATGATTATTTGGGAACAAGATAAATTACAATAATTTATGTATTCAAGGCTTGAATATTATACACACTCACTTGAAAGTAAGATTCACTAAATTTAGTGGGATCTGCTTCTTGGCAGAAATGTAGAGAATTGTACTATTTTTAAAATGTAAACAATGACAGCCAGAATCTTGTTAGATTTATGCAATGCGAACTTAACATTGCATAAATGGTGTTTGAAATCATTCCAACCGCTTGTTGTGGTCAGACTCACCCATCTCACACGCTCAGGTACACAACATACAGTCAAGAAAACAGTGAAAATCACTTGTGCAATTTTCTCCTAGACACCATGTTTTTCACAATCTGAGTAACTACTATTGTTACTTATTTATAATGTGACTGATCAGTATTTTTGCTTTGGAAAAATTGTAATCATTTTGGTTTGTATCAATTTTAGGAAATGAAGTGAAAAACAATTCCTATGAAAAATTAGTTTCAGAGAATAAAAAGGTTTAGAAAACAGCTGATAAAACGTCTTGATTCAGAAATCATAGGCTTATAGCACTGCACAGATTTTCATGCATCCAAATTGACTTCAAAGCATTTCTATATTTAGACAGTGTCTTATTTGCTTGCCACTACTTGAATTATGGAATTTTAACTGTGAACAGACTAAGATTGGGCTTTGATTTCGCATACTTATGCAGCCCTCAGGCCTCCCCAGAAAAAAAATGGAAAAAAACCCCCTCCTCCCTTAAATTTTTTTAAAACGGAAAATCATGCTTCTAGGAGAGGTATACAATGTTAAGAATGCTTAAAAACATTAAAATTTAAATTAAAAAAACACGTAGAAGCTGTGTGAAATGAGAGGGGAGAACTTAAAGGAAAATCCTTTTGTATTAGTCCTGGAGAGGTTGGCATGGCCCCAGAGGATGTTGGGGCTATTAAGATAACGGTGATGCCTCGCAAGAAGAAATCCATTCGTTCTGCGAGCTGTGTTGCATTGTGAAATTTTCGTCTTGCGTAGCATGGCACTAATGGTTGTGCGATTTTTTAAAAACCAAAAAAGAGGGGGGAAATCGTCTTGCGAAGCATGGCCATAGAAAAATTCATCTTGTGAGTCACCAAAAATCGCAAAATACTTTCATCTTGTGAGTTTTTTGTTGCGTGAGGCATTCGTCTTGCGAAGCATCATTGTAGCTCCAGATCTCAGTGCCTTACTCACACCATCCTAAACTATATGCAACAGTACAGCATTATAAATCTTTTATATTTACAAACAGAGAAAAACATAGGAGTGCAGACATAAGAAACACCTTTCTAACACCATTTTGTGGTAAGCTGATTTTTAAAAATTGTATGAGCAATGCAGAGGTTACAGCTGAAGGATGGAACCGCAAAAAAGGAATATCATCCTGAAGCTTGTTTTTTTTTTTCAGCAGGAAGGGCCAGGGCTGGAGATTGCACATGGGTAGAACAGAACTCGCTATGTATATGCCAGGTATATGCCATCATTTCAAGTTGCAATAGCTCAAGTCTTTGATTATTCTGCTTCAGAAAATTTATAAACAGGGTTGCAAGCTAATTTAGGCCCAAGTAAATATATTCAGGACTGCAGTCACTGAAAACGATTCACAGTAAATCTCATTCACAGTTAGCACTAAAATCAACAAGATTTAAATTTCAAATGGATTAATCCATTTATGCATTGAACTGGTGGTTAGTTTGAGAGCTTGATAAGGCAACTCACATTAGGGTGTCTCAGTGCTCTGTAATTCCTTTGCTTTATCTCTACTAACTGCATGCCTTTAAAAGATGAGTCATTTATAATTACCTGCTCTGATGAACAAATAACATCTTGAAGTAGTTGGAAAAAGCAGCAAGGACAGATTTATGTGCCTTGAAGTAGACATCACCAATAGCAACTGTGCAGTCACAAAGGAAACCAAACTCTCTCTGAGCGTTGAGCTGCTGCAGAAGAATAAGCCCATGGTTGGCCAAATCCATCTTTTTAGATCTGCAATGTAAATGAAGCCAATGAAATCAAATCCCCATATATGTATCTTCACTGTAGTAGAGCACTCTTCCATTCATACTGGCAATTTCTCATCCATATTAATAGCCTCTATTTTTTCAAGGTTCTTATGGGATATCATATCTTAGCAAATACAGAGTGTAAAAAAATACATGACTCAAAAGGTGTAGAATGAATGAAAGGTTATATTTGTACTAGAATTGTTTATGAGGGCCCATTACAGAATGTTCACTGTTGAGCAACAGTTTGGATGGCTAGCCACCATCACCACCATCATCTTAGAACTGCAGAACTGGAAGGGACCCAGTGAATCATAGTACAGCAGTGAGGAATCGAACTCCCAGCCTCTGGCTCTGCAGCCATACAGTATGTCTAAACCAGTGGTTCTTAACCTTGGGTAACCCAGGTGTTCTTGGACTGCAATTCCCAGAAGCCTTCACCACCAGCTATGCTGGCTGGGGCTTCTGGGATCTGCAGTCCAAGAACACCTGGTCACCCAAGGTTAAGAACCACTGGTCTAAACCACCGAGCTGTCCTAATAAATGTAAGAATCCCTGAAAAAACACTCAAAGGCCTAAGTGTAAGTACCAATATAAAATGTCAGGAATTCCTCTGCCCTACATTTCAAAGTACACTGCCTTCCATAGCCTTCATAGGCTACACAACAGTTCTTGCAACACACGAGAAAAATGATTAAAACTGCAATATAAATGTTGGATCAGCTGACCTTCTGCATTACAGTGTTAAACTGAAAAACCCTTTGAAAAAACAGGTATCTGGTTCAACACGGGAAGTCTGGCTAGGATTTAAAACAAGTGTGTTCCAGCAAATCTGAGGATTAACGTAAAACCCACAAATTCCCTTTTAACAAATTTGTGAACAGCCACTGACGTTCAGGAAAGTTTTTCCTATAGGGGAGTGTGTGTTTATTTTTCCAGAGAGAAAACTGTGTCACCATTCCAGCACAAAGCAAAAGCAGTCTTTAGAGGTAACAAATTTATTCCACTGCCAGCTTCCGCGGGGTGTAAGTCATAGTCCCTGAGAGCCATCTTTTTCCCCCTTGTGCAACTAGAAAGAAGCCAAATTAAAATATCTGCGCGCTTAATATCTGCGGCCGGCCAGTGGCAAAGGGAGACCACATCCCAGCCACAAAGCAAGTACACCTCAAAGAGGCATTTTGCGACTGAGATGGCCGCCAGTTGGGCGGAGAAGCGCCTCCTGCCCAAGCCCGCCCCGACGGGCGAGTGACACCCCGAGGCTGGGCCCGTGGAAAACCCTCCGAGGAATCACGAAGCGCTCATTGGCGCAGAAGGCAAGGGCAACCAATAGCGGCGCATCTTTCCTCAGCGCCCGTTCACCCCGCCTCCTGCGGTGTATCACGCTGTTCCCGAGCCGCCGGCGTTTCCTATTGGCTGCTCATATCGTTTAGGCCGGCTGGAGGAGGGGAAGGCGAGAAAGCGACAAAGCTGCGGCAGCCACCGCTGGCGGGGGCTCGCGCAGCCCGAGCTCAGCTGGGCCCCTCCCCTCCGCTGCCGACGCGGGGCCGCTACGTGCGCGCACACGCAAGGTACGGAGGGGGCGGGGCGTACGCAGGACGGACGGCGGCGCCAAGCAACGTAGGCGGCGCGAGCGAGCGAGCTGAGGCGCCTAAGGCGCGCGAGAGACGGGAACCGCCGCTGTCGCCAGGGCCGCCTAGGCTGCTGAGGAGACGCAGACGGAGCCGCCCACCATCAGCCCCCTCCCGCCTTTCCCTCGCTTTCTCTCTCTCTCTTCTCCTCCCTCCCCTCCCTTTTCCGCTCCGCGCGGCTGCCTCAGCGCCCGCCCCTCCCCCTTCCTCCTAGGCCGGGCTGCTGCCGCCGCTGGTGAGAGAAAAAGGGGAAAGGCCGCTACGCAACTAGGCGAGTGCGCGAAAAGGAAGGCAGGCAGACAGGCAAGGCGGGTAGGCACGCAGGGCCGCACCGAGCGCCGATAAGGCCAACGCCAGCTACAACTGGGTAGAGGAGGGACTCCCCTCGAGTCCGGGCGAGGCGAATCCCCACCCCCGGGGAAACTACACGCCTTTGCCTCTCTCCCAGCCACCATCCCGGGGCCTCAGCCGGTTAGTCGGGATAGGCCCCTCTTTCCCAATCTCCCTGGGTCTCGCGGCCTTTCCTTTCCTCCGGGTCTCGACCTGGCCTGGCCCAACCGCCAGCACAATGGTGGTGGGAATGGCGGCGGGAGGAGGGGTGTGTGTGAGAAGGTATTCCGGCCTTCCCCCGCTCACGCCGCCACACACCTCCCCAGCCCCCCCCCCCCCCCCGCCCGGCCCCGCCCCCAGCCGTGGGGGGAGGGTCGGAAGCATAGCCGGGCTTCAGCCGGCTAAGAGGCCAGCGATCGGTCAGGAGGAGGTGGGAAGTTTCCCCCACCCCCTCCCGAGCAAACGCCGGGTTTTCAGCCAGCTAAGAGGCTGGCGATCGGGCAGGAGGTGGTGGGGGTGGTGGGGGAATCTTCCCACCTC